AATATGCAATAAAATGTATACAACGTGGTTAAGAACTGGTTGGATTTTTTTTCTTACTTTCTAGTCAATTTGCAATTTGGAAATGATAAGAGATTCATTTTTTGTTCAGTTATTGTAAAATTGGAAAAAAAGATAAAAAGAAAGAAGACACTAATGAAATGTGTTGTATACTTGTAGAAATCATGGTTTTTGATTGGGAGGATGGAAGGAGGCAGGAAGAGAGAAAAATAAAGAGAGAGAGAGAGACAAAAAATAGAGAAAGGCAGAGCTAGAGACAGACAGAGAGAGAAAGAGAGAGAGAGAGACAGAGAGAGAGAGAGAGAGAGAGAGATACAGACAGATCTATATAGAGGGGGAGGAGAGAGCCAGAGGGTAAAAGGAGATGTGAAATAGAAATCTAGATTGGGTTTATAAAGCGAAACTAAATACAGAGAGAGAAAAAAAAATATCGGGTATATGTTGATCAGAAGGGTTGTTGCAAGAGATCCCTGATAGAATGGGCAAATTAATTATATTAAAAAAGGGTTTGGGGGGGGGGGGGGGGGTGATATGATGCATACTATATCGCGATCGCTCAGGGGCCCGTTCCTACAAACCGTCATAAGTCTAACTTCTTGACTAAATCAGCGTTAGTGAACAACTTGTCCGCTACGTGTTTCACCAAGCCCTCTTTGCCTAGATCAACGACAACATCCTGACTAAGGAGTTATGACACCTCTGACACCGTCGTATCTCTGTCATAACTATTTAGTCGATGGGCAGCGCCATCACATGTCATATATTGGGTAGACTATGGCTGGCAAAAAAGGACAATAAATCCTCCAACTATGATTTTCTACACATTCACTTAAACAGTGAATTATCGTTTTTTTGTATTTGATAATCTCATGAAAATATGCCATGTTTGTATTTAAGGATTTTCCCACTTAAATAAACTGATTATACGCCTTTATTTCCACATTGTAAACTCATCGAAGGGATATGTATTTTGCCACGGCAGGCAAGCCATAGTTTGAAGTGTATTCTTTAGTTTTCAGACCCATATTAATTTCGAGATGAATTTTATTTTCAATTATGCAAAGTGAATGGTTTAAATATATGTTTTAACGTTTGAAATATTGAAGTTTTGTAATTTTTATATTGTACTGACGCCAAAAACATTGAACACAAATTTCATTACATCGTATTTTTTCAAAGAATAATATAAGGGTGTATTTTTATAAACTATCAAATGAAAATATTCGGGGGGGTGCCCATCTCAACAACAAAACTGATTCACTGGTCATGTAATGAAAAACTCACAATTGTATTTTACAAGTACTTCAATTGTTTAATCTACACAAATTTGGAAGTACATTGGATCTCTTATTTCTTGGTATCATTTTTAATCTTTTTTATTACTAATTCATTTAAATAATTGCATTTTCCCTAATATTAATTTTGTAATAATCTGGTGGTATTGCGACTAAGGCTAATTCTCGGCTCCTCTTCTCGCCGATAATATCGATCTCACGAGATACTAGCTAGTAAGCTCTTCGTGAAACGGTTTAGGAAGATCACAGACATCTCCGTAGTTGGCGGATAAAGTTATGACTGTCTTGTCGTTGGTTTCTAGGAACGAGCCCCTGATCAGCGCGCGCTAGCCGTGCACAGATTGCGGGAAGTTTGAACCGACGACTGACGAAGAAGTAGTCATTGCAACTGAAAATGTTTGCGATTTTACTTGTTCTTGCATAGAAAAATCATCACATATCAACTTAAAATGAGTAAAGGAAAGGATGCACAAGGTGAGATATTTCTTCAGTTCGTTTTAAATGACAGAATACCGCATGAATTCTTTGGAATAGTTTACAACTGTAGTCCCACCTGCATAAATTAATGTGTGGATTTGATGCATGCTGTAAACCCGAATTTCCGAAGTAACAATTTTGGGCATTGATCTTGGCCTTGCATGGCCATCTGTTTTTGTTTTTGTTTGTGAAGCAAACGGTAATGATGGTGATGATGATGATGATGATGATGTCTGATGCTGTCTGATGCTGTATGATGATGTATGGAGGAGGAGGAGGAGGAGGAGGAGGAGGAATGATGATGATGACGAATTAGAAGAAGGATCTAGAAGTAGAAGAGGAGGAAGGTGAAGTGGACACAGAAGGCAAAGAAGAAGAAAAAGATGAAAGGGGGAGGAGCTAGAAGAAACAGATGATGGATTTTTTAGAAATAAATTAAGGAGAGAAAAAAAATGCTCTGTAAGAAGTTAAAGGGCAAGTCCACTCCAAACAATTAACTTACTTTCAATAGAAGCTGAAAAATCAGACGAACCAACAACAAAAAAGGTTTAAGCAAAATCTGATAACATTAAACTAATTAAAAAGTTATAAGTTTTTGATAACATGAAAAACTTTGAAAATCACAAGACAAATTGGCAATTCACTCATGAGTCTGTGACGTCATTGCCTCACTATCCACTACCGGGTAATTATTTTCTTTATATAGACTCTATAGCTAATATAAATTTCCTATTCCCCCCCCCCCCCCTAAGAATCTTATTTCTTCACATCAGCATCCAAGTTAGATTGATAGTAATGTTTTTGTGTGGATGCATTAAATATAAAGAAATTTGTTTCAGTTAAATCATGAAAACTATTTTTTTTTAGTGCCCACTATCACCCCTGTAAATATTGAGGACATACTGTAACGTCACAAACTGATAACCAAATTGGTAATTTGTGTAGTGATTTCCATTTTCCATGGTTTTACATACTTCAAAAATTCATAACGTTCTTTTTAGTTATCTTTTTGATTGGTTTGTCTGTCTGATTTTACTGCTTCTATTGTAAGTACAATGTAAGTTATTTTTGGAGTAGACTGGCCCTTTAAGAAGTGACTCTGACACTGACTAGAAGAAATACACGTACACATATGTACATGTATTGTTCTTTGTTATAACTTGTTATTATGTATGACTATGATAACAATAAACAAACTTTAATAACACACACAATTTGTATTTTTGTGAAATATTGTGTTTCAAAACTAACCTGATATAAACATGATTATTTTTTAGATTGAATAATGACAATCCTGTTCTCCAATTCAATTTACTTGTATGTAGCTGCCAATGCAGTCTTGGACTACCTGAATCGCCTGAACAGACCATACAGTGCTAATGATATTTTCATGAACCTCCACAAGGAGTTTGGCAAAACTGTGAGTATGCAAAAACAATTTCATTTTTATCACATAAAAACTTCTGATGTACATGTTGGAGGAAGGAGTTCTTTGTTTGTTTTTGAGGAATTATATAGTAACATGTTCATTGGATATTAAAGCAGGTGAATTAGATTTTGAAATTACATATGAATTTACAAAGAAGGACATTTCGAAAGAACTACAAAGGATCTATCTTTTCAAATTCAAACTTAAATTTAGATAGTTAATGTTAAAGATTAAAGAATAAACAGTTATGTAGTGAAGAATAAAGAATATTGACATCAATTAAATGTTGTACATGATACATGTACAGTGTGTCTCTAAAAAAAGTAAACCCAACTTCAACGGCAAATTTTCAGAAAACTATAAAATATTTACACATTATTTTTTCATGGTTAGATAGTCCAATAAGTCCTCTGTCCAATTATATCACTTAGGTTATCTGACGCTCATGCATGACTGAGCATGATTCAACTTAGTGAACTGGTGTCAAATCATCACTGTGGCAAGTTATTTCTTGCTATTGTCATGCATTCAGGGCCTATTTGAAGTTAAATCTTTGTCACATGTTAGGCCTATGATTACATAACAACTTCAGCAAAGGTTGTTCCTAACACAGGCACACTTCACATGCTTTCCAAACATGGTACAGTTGACAATTGAGCAGAGAGTATTCCTGGTAACTCGATACCAGGAAACAAGAAGTTTCGTGGAAGTTCAAGATGCTTTTCGGGTGCAGTTCCCCGAGAGGCAGCCTCCAACAAAAGGAGCCATCTGGTACAATGTGAGAAAGTATGCTGATCACGGAACCAGTTTGAACAGGAATAAAGGACACTCTGGCCACAGACGAACTGGGAGGTCTGCTGAAAACATCCAAGTGGTAAGAGAGGCCATCCAAGCCAACCCACGCATAAGCACCAGGAGAAATGATACTGGAATACCACGCGCAACTTTTAACAGAATAGCAAGACTGGATTTGCATCTCCATCCATATCATGTTCATGTTCAGCACCAACTTCTACCAGCTGATTTTCCCAGACGACTTCAATTTTCACAATGGTTTGTGAACCGGTGCAACCGAGATCGACAGTTCCTCCAGTTTTTTACCATCGGGGATGAAGCAACGTTTTCCATGGATGGAATGTAGGGCTGTGCACAACAGTGTAATGAGGTACCCGAGTACACTCCCAGGCTCACAGGCGAATACTCCAGTATTCGGACGCCATGTTTTTTTATAATTTTTTTGAATTTTTTTGAATTTTTTTGAATTTTTTTGAATTTTTTTGATTTTTTTTGAATTTTTGGATTTTTGGATTTTTTTCCTTTTTTTTCTTTTTTGCCACTACCATACCACTCGGCAGTTTCTCAGGTCCCTCGCGCAGCTCGCTGAAAACGCATGCAACTTTACTTTGAGTTGCAGTTGAAGGCGCCGATTTAATAAGAATAATAACAGTAAACAATGCTGTTTTAAAAACCAAAGATGGCAGAATAATCCATTTTCCTCCAAGTCCAAACAGAAATCTGGACATTTGGTCCCAGTTTCTGAAAGGTGAGTTTGACAGTGCTTGAGTTTGGAAACATTTTTACTGACGGTACCATGCCAGCGGATGCTGCTCTCCCTGGCACGGGTAAGCGTGGGCCTGGACATTTTTTTTTTTTTTTTTTTTTTTTTTTTAAATTTTTTTTTTTTTTTGCGGCCGAATATTCGGGTACAAGAAATCGTACCCGAGTAGTTGTCAACCGTGCGGGTACTCGAGCATTCGACTACCCGTCGCAGCCTTAATGGAATGGTAAACACCCACAATGAGCACGAGTATGCTGAACTCCATCATCCACCGGGATATGCTTTTAATAAGAACATGAGCAGGGAGAAAGTGAGTGTCTGGATTGGTCTTTGTGGCAATGGTTCATTGGTGGGACCTTACTTTTTTGAAGGCAACATCAATGGCAGGGCGTACCTTGACATGCTGAACAATTTTATTGTGCCTGAGATGGAACAGATCTTCCCCCGACAACGACGTGGAGCATTCCGCAGGGCCTGGTGGGCTCAGGATGGGGCCCCAGCCCACAGACTTATTGCTGTGAGGAATCGTTTGACTGAACTCTTTGGCAATCGCATCATTGCTCTTCATTTCCCAGTTGAGTGGCCGGCACGTTCACCAGATCTGACACCATGCGATTTCTTTCTTTGGGGGTATCTTAAAGGAAAAGTGTTCCAAACCCCACCGGCCACAATTCAGGAGCTGAGGCAACAGATAACAGGTGAAGTGAACCGATTACGACAAGATCAGGGAATGATCAGGCGTGCTGTCAGGGACATGAGGAGGCGTTGCGAGCTTTGCATGGAAAGGAATGGCGGTCATGTCGAGGGTACACATCCCTAAGCTATGCTTTTAAGAAATCAGACATTTCCTATGTCATTTGATTGATGAACTTCCAGTGCAATTCTAACTTGCCACAGTGATGATTTCACACCCATTCACTAAGTTGAATCATGCTCAGTCATGCATGAGAGTTACATAACCTACGTGGTATCATTGGACAGAGGACTTATTGGACTATCTAACCATAAAAAATAATGTGTAAATATTTTATAGTTTTCTGAAAATTTGCCGTTGAAGTTGGGTTTACTTTTTTTAGAGACACACTGTACATTAAATAATTATATTGTATTTATAGCACAGGTACATTGCAGATTGTTATAAATTATGTGTTCTCAAATCTTATTTGTTTGAAATGTGCATTCAAGTTAATTTCACATTCATTTTTCATTTTTATATATTTGTTTTCATATTCATTTTCCCAATGCTTCAATTTGAGCAAATTGATTACCGTATTTGGAATTCTATTTGTATGAATATTAACCTACATGTAGCTCTATATTCCAAGACATCTAGTCTACTGCTTTTATATCTGTTTTCATCTGGGAGCTTTGCTGAAGTCTTCCCAATGTTGAACTGACTAATATTTGATTGCTGCCCTCACTGCTGTGAAGTTCACAACATGTTGAAAAGCATTGCTTAATTTACCTAATTTGGAATTATTACTGTTGAATATGATTCTCCAAATAATACTCTAGAACACATGTTAATAATTGCCTTTCATTTTTTGTGGTTGTTGTTTATGTTTGTTCAGAAATCATAGTGTATAGTATTCAAGTTGTAAATTGAGGATTTTTTTGTATAAATCATCTCTTTTAGGGTATACACTGTATATATACTGGACATAAACTTTGTAAACTTTCTGTACATCTGAATTCTGAATGAACTGAAATATGAATGATTTATGGATTGTTTATTTAAAATATCCAATTGCACTGTTAAGTGCAATTTTTAATGGAAAATGGACCCTTCTGAAGTAATTCACTTTTGTGAATTGTTAAGTTAAGGATTCTTTTGTAGTATGCACATGGTATGAGTAAGCATCAGCCATTCTCAAGAAGTATGCATACATGTTCATGAACATGTACATGTATGTAACATCTAATATTAGATTAATGATCTGTATTCTGTTGTTACATATTACATTATCAGATTAATTGTAATAATGCATCAGATTGCAATTGGTATTGAATCATGTATCTGGAGACTCTAGTATTAAATCAACATTGTTGCAGTATAGTGAGCTGTATATATGTCCAAATTATACCAGGATGAAGTTTTAAAATCTTCCTAAATATTCCTTGATAACGGGAATGACAATTTTCAAACAAACTTGAAATAAGGAATTTTAAAAAGGTATGCGTTTGTTAGTGTTTTTTCCTAGAATTGCCATTTTTGGAGACCCCTTTGACCTCCTTACAGACAAATTAACACAATTTTAAACAAACGAATCCCTAAACCAATTATATTCCAATCTATTTAGATGTACAGAGAAAACTAAATTTGTGATAAGTACAAAAGTAACACAGTACCAAAAAAGGGCTAATTTGTAGAGGAAATTCCCCCAATTTGTAAATGAGGGCAGGAGGTAGCTCAACCACATGTTAGTTGTAAATTTCAAAGCTTAATTTCCATGAACTAAATATTTTTGCCCTCAGAATTCAATTCAATCAAATTACACTGATATGAAACATCCTGCCCCTGCCCCATTGATACGAAAATAGTCAAATAATTGATTGTATATCTGTCATTTACCCTGATTTATAACACAAAGTGCAATCCTAAAGCCGCGGTCACAAATGCCATTACGAACTGCTACAAACACCGTACAAACGATTTCCAGACAATGGAAATTTGGGAAGACAATGGAATATATGGAAAAACAGGGAGATTCGTACGAACCTTTGTCACTGTAGCTTAAAATACAGGTATATGTCAAACTTTATCAAGAGAGAAATTTTGTAATTCGCTTTCTATTTCTGGTTTAATTTTTTAAATAAATTATTAGTAGGAGTTTTCTTTGAGAAGATGTGAGATTTTGTTGGGGAATTTAACAGAATGCCTGTTTCTATTTCAGAGCTCTATCTTTTTGTAGCTACCGCCTACTTTTGATTGTTGATTTTTTTTTCTCTTCGCAATTATTTTTTACCATATTAAGCAGTTACCGGAGAAATTTATCCGATTGGATAATTTTATATTTTTCATAATGATATTCCCAAAAATTCAAATAAACCCAGCTCTACTTTAATATCATGGTAGTTTTGATCAGGTTAAAGATATGATGAGGCATCAGGATACAAGCATTGCAGTTCTACCTTTGTAAAATACTAACACTGCAGTGACAACACTTGTACTGCTCTCTCATACACCTACACTCATCATTGTAGTTGCATTTATGACATATAGGGTGATAAAGGGGGATCAATTTGTATGAGGTCATCCAGTTGGATCAATGCTATATCAAAGAGATTTTCTCTTGAAATTTCATTCATGTACTGTAACCATCTCCTGTCACTCAATTACAGGATGAAAGAAAAGATTGTTATATATTTTAATTTGAGGCCCCTTCGCTTCTATTTTTTATTCTTGAAGGGAAGTGCATGTCCTTTATAATTCATTTGCGCTTCCGAAAATATACAACACAGTAGCTCTTAATCATCCTCATTATCTTAGTATTGTTTCACGTACAAATGACGTCATTGAGGTGATCGAGGTCATATATCGGTATTATCCCTAATCTGATGGGATGAAAATGCCAGTTTTGACAGATTTTGTCCTGACATTTCTATCGTTTTCTCACGTCACTCAATTATCGGAAGACAAATGATGGTCAAGTTTGAGGTCTTGTCAATTCTTTTTTTTGTGACCTTCATGTTCAACGAGGGAAGGGCATGTCCAGCGTTATTTGTAGTTCTGCTTCTGAAAAACAAATGAACAAAACACAACAGCTCTCAATCATTTTCTTTGTAATATTGGTGTTGTACAGTACTTACAAATAACCTCAATAGTGTGATCAATTAAGTATGAGGTCATTTATTATCCTTTAATCATGATTGATGAGGATTTATTTATATTTAACAGCTTTTTCTTTTTCTTCTGAATTTCTCTCATATTTTTCCAGTCATTCATTTTACTGGAAGCTAGACAAAGGATGGGGGCATTTGAGTTCATGTCATTTTTGTTTTGTTTAGGGGAGGGGATGGAGATCACTTGAAAAGGAAAGTGTATGTTCTATGTTTTTTTAGTTAAGCTTTTGAAAAACAAATGAACATAACACAACAGCTCTCAATCCTTGTTGTATTGACGTACATGCAGTTATGAAGGATGTCACCAGGAGTGACGAGTGAATGAGGTCATCTGTCATGCTTAATCCAATGAGATACGAGGATACTATATTTACCAGATTTCTCTGAAGTTGCTGAACTGTCTCCCGGCACTCATCGTTACTGAAAAAAACAAAGGATGTCTTTGTTTTTAATAGCCTTGGGGTCCTCTCCCTTCTTTTCTTAGACTGCTCTTGAACTTCAGCTTTGAGAGAGGAAGTGCATTGTCCCTTGTAATTCAGTTCCACTTTGAAAATGAATTACGACACCTTTTGATTTTGCTCATCACCGTTTTATCGTCACAGTTACCAATGACGTCATTGAGGGAGATCTATTTACATGTATGTGGTGAAGTCATGTATCATCCTTGATCCCGAGGGTGGAGATTCTATATTTAACCGTTTGACTCCTGAATTGTTTGATAATGTAATTCACATAGGCTTAATACAGAAGCCAATGGGTTAACAGAATAGAAAAGAATTTTAAAAAACCCAACTTTCTCCTGTCGTGCAATTATGGGACAACAAAGGATGTTTAAATTTTGGGTCTTGTCAAGTCTCTTGTTATACGATTTTTGTGATTTTCCTTTTCTAACAGGGGAAGATCATATTCAGATCCATTGACTTAAACAAAATACAATAATACTACAACACTAGTAGTACACGGTCATCTTAAATTGTACTCGTCTATCATCATTGTATTCTTTTAGTTATATAAACTGAATTTCCATTTCTTTCCTGACATTTTTCTCTCCTTCTGCTGGCCTTTAGTTTACTTGAGAGTTGAGAACGAGGGATGGTTACGTTAGAGGTCATGTCTAAGTTTTTGTTCTAGATCTCCATTTTTTGAGAAGGGAATTAAGACACATTTCATTCATAATTCAGTTCTGCCTCTGATATTGTTTGCTATTTACATGCATAGAGGGCTATAAGTAGTGCAGTGGGGCTTTAAGTTATGATTATTAATAATTTATTCAATTAATTTTTAAATCTCAGAAGGGACTTAGTTTCCTTATTTTTAGAATTTCATGTTATTTAACCTTTTCAAAAATCTTGACAGGACCTAGCTATTCCTGATTTCGTGCAGGAGTCAGGAGTCACAGATTTCCTTGCCTTCCAGGTTGACGTATTTAGAATCTTGATTTCTTCCTATATGCCCCAGAGTCATTATCCTTGTGCTGTTATTTTATAATCCCAAGTTTACGGGACCTTGTGAATCTCCTGTAATTGAAGTACTTCCCCCGTTAAAGACAGCCGACACTCTGAGCAAACAGTTTTGCCGGGAGGGGTGAAGTCCAAATTTGTTGCGCAATTGATGATTGAAGCCATCCTCCTTCTCCCAATATACCTTGTAATAGGTCAGGAGTCGGATTCAGTGAAACCTGTCTATAAAGACCACTCAAGGGAAACATGAAAAGTGGTCTATACAGGCAGGTGGTCTTTATGTACAGTGGACAGGTTGTCAGGTTCCTTTAGTACAAGTTCCAATGAGAAACCATATTCAAGGAAACAAAAGAAATGTGGTCTTTATAAACAGGTGGTTGCTAAAGCAGGTTTGACTGCTATATCACTTTTTAAATGAATGCCTTTGTAATGTATTCATTTCATAATTCATATCTTGTCTTAGGAAATTGTTAAAAGCCAAGTGGTGTTTGGGGGGGGGGGGGGTCTAAAAATGTAT